TCATGGATTTTGATCGTATCGCCGTGATCGATGCTGGCCGGTTGGCCGAGTGGGGTACGCCCAAGCAGTTGGTCACGGGTGATACCTTGTTTCGGAGGCTGTATCGGGACATGCATGGTGAGGTGGATGAGGACGAGGCTTGTCCCGCCTACGAAGATCACTACGATCATAACGAGGTAGATGAGGATGGCGACTACAGCTCTGCCATGGAGACAACATCTTCAGCGGAGAGTCAGACGAGGACGGTAGTCGTGGATGAGCAGTTGAATACTTGGATTTGATTGTTGTATTCATGTTTTTCAATTGATTAGAGCGTGGTTATGGTTATTGTAATTTAATCTAGAGTACTATATACTTCAGAGCGCATGCAGTTTTCTTAATGGCTATATGCCGGACCACGCTTCTATAGTATAGTGTAGACTTGAATTCAAGTAAGATTGTCAGCTTTTGTGTCCAGACACCGCAGGAAGAGCATGTAATTCTGCACCTACGATAACCTTCTCCACAGTGGTGCAAACCTTTGCTTCGAGAGAGACTGTCCCGGTTAATCTCTGGAACCAAATTCCCCCCACAGCCACACAAACTCTAGAAAGAAGATTGAGTAGCTAAGCTACCCTCGATGGAACAGAATTAGGTTTTCCATTGCGACGTATTCGAAGTCTACTGCGCCTACACTGCCGTGTCCAGAAGTCTCCAGTCTGAAACATCCTTCCAGCAGCACAGCCTCCTCTTGACATGGGGGCCGAATATTGCGTCATAAACGAAGAATAAGGGAACAGTCAGGGAGTAATCATCATCATCATCGCCATCATCATACTAAATATTATCGTAAGCTCGTAATAAAGCCACGTTAACTAGCGTACTAGTAATCAAACGAGTAAAGATCGTGGCTCATCCCACCCCCTGTCGATCTTCAGGTTCAGGAACCGGTCCACGTGGATGCCACGCGAGATGGGTTCAACCTTAAGGATCAGATTACTATTGCTTACTGAAAGTCTGAAACTGTCATTCTGTTCTATGACTTATCGCTAGGGCCTTACTCGGATAGCACAGTTAGTTGTTTCATGTTGTTGCTAGTATGGTCTGGAATATTCTGTGTTGGTTCGCAGTGTAGGTTTGGGAGCTGAGGATTACCTGTCTAGCTGGAGAGATTTGTCCTGTACTGTGTAGTAGTAGATAGCTTAGCTCGGATGTAATTACATATTGAACAGTAGCTTTTGGTAAGGTTGAACTGACGCGGCATAATGCAGGGCGGCTTCAGCAGGTGGCTAGACCTGCGCAGATATATTTTCTGAAGCCGGATCACTATCACATCCTTAGTTGTCGACACACACTCTTCTGACCTTTTTCATTCTTTCCTCTAATATGTAGATATGTAGATTCAAATCAATAATGTGCAAGGTGTAATGTATGATCACTAGCATAAACAGGAATAATCAAGGATATATAAAAGAACTCCAAAAATCTCCAAACGCACAAAAGCCACTCCTGGCGGCTTGGGTTAAGCCAAGACCACTTGCCTCACTTTGCACTAGATTTACAAACCCTATTCCCAACCGTATTATGCAACAAGAAGAACAAGGTAGAAAAAAATGAATGAACAGGGAAGAATTAAGCAGAAATTTCGCGTCTGGAAAACCGCAGCCATGGCCCATGCTTCTGGCCGGTAATGTGTTCATGCAACTGGTACTCGTTCTCACGGTGTCGCCCGTGCTCCGCCCCAGGTACTCCGCGACCGACCTTGCTCATCGGTCCTTCAGCGAATTTAAAATCCCCTAGGTACAACACAGTGGCCACCGTGGTCATCAGCTCGTGGTAGGCCAAGCTGCGACCGAGACAGCCGCGCATGCCCAGCGAGAAGGGGTTGAAGACGAGTCTCGCCCGCTTGACGCTGCCAGTTCCATCATCCTCGAGCCACCGCTCCGGTCGGTAGATGAAGGGATCCACATAGTAGCGCTCATCGTGATGAATGGCATACAGTGGCACCGCGACCGTCACACCTCCAGGAATGTAAACGTCGCCGACAGTCAATCCACCCGGCAGAACTTCTCTCGTCAGCGCCGCACCGTTAGGGGGACTCATGCGCAGGGCTTCATCAATGCAGGCCCGCAGGTAGCTACACGATGAGAGCTCCGGACCTGAGAGCACTTCCTCGGGACCAAGTGTCTTGCCCGCGAAAACCTCACGCACCTCTTTCGCGGCTTTCTCATACGCATAGCGATTATCCGCTAGGTAGAACAACGTCGCCGCAATCGCCGTCGAGGTTGTGTCGGATCCGGCAACCACCAGCGTCGTGCTTTCGCTGACCATCTCCGACGCCGTGAATCCCTCACCCGTGTCCGGGTCCCGGGCCTTCGCCAGCGAGCTGTAGATATCATCGCGGGGCTTGCATGGGTCCAAGGCGTCGGGCGCCCACTTGCCCAGGGCGCGATTAGCGCGTTCGCGAACAGCGCGCACGACAAACCGGAGGAAGCGGTTGCGGGCGATGAGGGCGTCGCGGAAGAAGATGGCGTCGACGGCGCGCCACGCGGCAATGATAGGCATATACGCGAGCACAGACATACGCACGTTTGACTTGTCGATGACCTCAGGCATGTAGCGGAACTTTTCGCGACCAAGCAGGTTGTAGCTTGCGCTGAAGACCAGGTCTGACATCAGATCAAAGGTGAGGTAGCCGCACCACTCGGCCATGTTCATCGGCTCGCCCAGCTCGCCAGAACGCGCCGGGAGCACGGCCTCGCAGAACTTGCGTACGTGCACTGCGATACGAGGGTCCATGCCGCGCTGGGCCTTCTCGGATAGCGCAGTCGAGACGATTCGTCGTCGCCGGAGGTGATCGTGTCCGCCGCGGAGGCTGAATGTGCTGCCTACGCTGCCGGCTTGGAGAACTTGGTAGTGAGGGCTCTTTACTACTGAGGCGTACGCCTTCGTCGAGTAAATGGCGTGCAGCGCATCTGCGTTGCGGATGAAGACCGAGTTGGGCATGTAGCGCACGAAGTCGCCGTGTTTCTCGTGCAGTCGCCACATGTCGAGGTGGGCGTCGCCTAGCCAGGAGTGGTAGGCGCCATAGCCATCTGTAAGACGAGCCCAAATTGGACCAGGAAATTTTGCAAGAGGGTGAAGAAAGAGGAGGTAGATTATTCTTCCAAGGACCTGCTGGGACGTTAGTCATGGACATTGAGAGAGGAAGATAAACTCCGCCAAGAGGGAGATCGTGCTCGTACTAAGAGTGTTGCGCCGCCTGCGGCTGCAAGTAGGATATTTTGAATCGACATGGTGTTCTTTCTGTCTGATGCAGAAGACTTTGAGATGTAACGAGTGATAGAAGATTGTGAAACTGGCGATTTTCAGTTTCAGAACTGGGCCTTTTCAAATGCCATGCATTTCCCACGTGGGAGTAGAGTGCCCCTGCATATGGATCGGCCAGGGCACTTCCTTATAAGGGGCCCGTAAGCACAGTATCATATTGCTGACGATTGATTACTTTGGAGTTTGACATGTCGTGGGATAATCTGGTATCAGAGGTGGTGTAGTAATCAAATAGTAAGCATATCCGAGACATGAGATGATGGGATGGAGGCGCATCGGGATGTCTATTTCAACCAGGACCTAAAGTCCGGTTCGGAATCAGTGGAGCACGGTGGTCTGACCGTTTGTCCATGTGGCTTCTGAAACATTGATCCTCGAGGCTTTTTTTGCGTTCCTGGTTGATCGTATTGTCCCCACTGTGCGCAGCCAACACTCAGCCTGTGCGTGTACTTCGTCGCTGTTGGTTTCCATGGCTTATGTCTGTCTCATGATGACTTATCCCTACAGTAAACTGACTACGATGTCTCAGTATCAGCTGCTTACGCTCCCGTGATATTCATTGAACTTCTGTAGTTCTCCTCCAGGATGCGTCAGAGACACAGAGGGTAAAATTAGTGAAGTAGTAAGCAGCTGCAATAACGAGGTCCGGGCTGCATGTGTGCTGAAAACCTTGAAGATAATCGTGAGCATCCGGCATCGCAGTAATCTCCTGTAACTGATCTGGTCCTGTGGTAAGCCTGTTGTGGATTAATATCCCGGCTCGGTGGTATCAAACACTAGCCGTCGTGCTATCCGACGGGTGTTATCCAAAGCCAATTGCTTGGCTGCGGGAAACCATCACAGACCGAACGAAACCTGAGTGATGGACTTCTTGGGATCTGGTTGGCTTCCAGAGCATTTAATAGAGTAAACGCCAAAAATAAAGACAAAAACATACAACAGAAGGGATTCGCTGGTGGTCACCCACCCAACTACTAACCTCCCGGCGTGTGGCTTAAGTACGGCTGAGCGGACGGGAAGCCCTGTTTTCCACACCCTATGGTCGTATGTGGTCAATGTAAGTTGTTACAGATTGAGACGTCCATTGCAGCAAAAAATAGTGGATCCACTGCCTCCTTTCGGGTGCTAAGCGAGAGATTTGGCAAGCATACCATTTGGCAAGTCTGAAGTGAAGTGCGGTCCTTCGCGACAAGCAATAACTTCTGATTGTTAAAGCGAGCTCCGGTAGCCCCGGAAGTAACTTGGCTGTTACATGGGTCCTTGGGGGTAATCCTAGGTGAGTGTCGTCGTAGAGCATCCTTCCCATCGTATGGGAAACGATGGATGGCTATCCGATTGGGTGACTCGTACAAGAGATGACCATAACAGCGACCAAAAAATGCGTTGAAAAAAAATGAGATATCAATATATGAAGGATGACTTCTGGAAGCCAGACACAAATTAAAACTTCCAGCAAGATTACAACAGACAGAAAAAGAATATCATCCGACATATAGCGAGTTGCCATCATGGTACATGGAGAAAGAGTAAAAACAATAATCCGCAACGAAACATATGCCTGAGAGCACCAGACGCTCCGATAAAGGGCATGCCACACTTAGAGTGTTGTCAAACCATGACTGCCCATTTTTCCGGTTGCAAGTCTGGTCTGATTGCCAAGTAGTAAAGCCATATAGGCAAATCAAGAATGATCATTTCCCAACATAATCAAACTTCTTTGTCCGGTGGTTGTACGTATAAGCATATTTGGCCACATCAAACCCCCAGTCACCAACCACTTGAATACCCGCGTCGCAGGCATTCTTATCCTTGGAATTGAATGCCGTGCAATACGGCCTATACAACCCGGAATTAGACTAGGATAACCCAATAAATCGAGCGATCACTTACCCAACCTTTGCTGTTTTCCCAGACATGATCTTGAAACCCATAATTTCATACCAGGACGTGTCCGTGCTGCTCCTAGTTACATTATATTCTTTGATATTATTTTCTTGTAGAAGTCTCGCAATAAAAGTTTCTGTTCCTCCTGTGAGTTGCGTGTGGACCCCACGAGGATTGCACTACAAATGTCAAAATTCACCATCCAGATAAATATAACGCCTAGACGAGGGACGGAAAGGAGACAACATACCTTTTACCCCCGCTGGCGGTAGAGGCGAAAGGGGACTCCTCTGCTGAAATCCAACCTCTATGGTTTGCCCAGGAACTTGTCGGTGGACTTGCTTTGATTCCGTACTTGCTGCGGTGTTCGAAGGGCTGTTTGTCAGCTGCGCTGCCGTCCTTGACCTGCCGGTTCTTTTTGGCCGTGCTTTCGTTGACTTTTCGCCTGGATTTGGGTCAGAGTGGTGGATGGGAACTCATATGGTAAGTACAGGTATAGCTGTGTTGGATTAGAATGAACTTTGAAGTGTCTGGTAAGTGGGTCTACGCAGGAGGCATGAACTAATTAGGGCTGCCTCGAGTGACGACAATGGCAAAGCTTCAACAACGATCATAACAATACAGATCAGACTTACATTATCGCGGGCTTTGCCCTTACATATCATGGCCCAACAGTCCACATCATATGTCAGCGCATCTTCTCCGCGAATCTCGAGTTCAGCCTTGATCGGATTGCTTTGGCTACTGCCCGGGGTGAAACGTGGTTCTAGGAATGTAGAATTCTTCGTGGGAAAAGCAAGGGCTTGATGAGAGCCAGCAGTGCAGAGTATTATTATGAGAAGGACAAGTGTAGCTTTCATTTTGAACCGAGACACGCCGCTGGATAGTAGTGACAAACCATAGAGAGTTCCTTCTGCCTTTTATACTATCTGCATCCTGTCGATATTCTCCTGTATATATAGTTTTGTTTATCCCCCCCTTTATGGGCACAGGCGACCAGAACAGCGGACTTCGAGATAGCTGACTATCGACTCAGCAGGCACAAAACAACCTGCGTTACCCTAGAAAGGGGCTTAACGCTACTAATCTGGTATATGAGCAAATATATGGGTATGATAGGGTCTTCTTCTGACACAAATGATGATTCGGACTAGGCCCCGACCGGGCGATTGCTACTTCTAAATTGCTCATATATTCAATCAGCACTCGTGCCTATATGTTGGATATGATGGGGCGGTCGTGTTGACAAGTTCTCAAACCTAAGGCATTGTGAATGCCAGAAACATCCAACGAATGACTGGCATATATACATGGATATACCTTGTAGTTGAACATATTGGGGGCGGCTTCGTCCTATACCCACTATATCCCTGCGACTTTGTAGGCAACGAGGCTGCCACCCGTCAAATGTTACCAGCCTCTCCGCCACCTGCTCTTTCTTTTCTCCTTTCCCTCTTTTCCCTCTGCTTCACTCGTTTCCTTAACGCGTCTATATGCAACACCCTTCCATCAACGCCATCACCGCAAACCATGTCTGTTTTCTTTTTCTTCTGCACTGCAGACGTACCAGCCAGTGTATGATAACCTATCCCAAGCCTTGGCAAGAATCACCATGCTTATTATGCTCTTCTTACCCATATCTTAAATAGCTTCATGGACCAACTCGCCCGGTACCATAGCCCAGACTGTCCCAACTTCTTCTGCGTTGTCCGAACACCGGAACAAACTGAATTCGACAGTTATGGTACCGAACTACCAACCAGTGACTTTTCCACTGGCTTTAATGACGCGACAGACACCGAGCTCCGCCTCTGGGCCCGAAACAAGATCTCAGAGCTCAGGAAACAGGGAAACGAAGGCATGCTGCAATACTACTGGATTGCTGTAATGGATGAACAGTCTGGACATGACTCAACAATTGTTTTGCATTACAATGAAGAGCTCTCCCTCTGGGCCCAGAGTCTGGAAGATGCCGAGCTGCCATTCAATATCCCGGGTGATGCAGATGTATTAGAGGATGATATCTGGTGGAGATGGCGCTTGCCTATCTCAGGAGCTCATCACCTGTTCAACAGTGTGGATGATGGTGACTTCGTGATGATTGGATTGTTTTCACGCCCGGAGTACGTGGGCTCGAACGGGGTCGTCAATGTGGACATTCCTGTCAAGATTATTCGAGGGGAGATCCCTGATCCGATCACTGAAGAGAGTTGAGCAACTGGATGGGAAGGGATGTGATGGGGCTTGACCTAACCCTACCATTGAGTTGAAGCATCTGTGTGGTGCTGGAGATCGGCTGGCCAGTTGCTGCCTTCCGTACTGGCTTTTCTGTGGCTTCAACCTCACCCAGTGGCTGAGACACTTCTCTCTTCTTCGCTTTGCACTAGCAGGCCCGCTAAGGCTTTCGTTGCAGATACGCATTCAGCACATCGGGGTAGCTCCGCATAGACTTGATGATCCCGGCAGTAGTTAGGCATGGAGTAGTAGAGTGTGGATAACTATCACTGGCTTGTATTCTAATCTAGAGATGTCCCTGTGTGTAATGGAACATTACAAATGGCACTGACCGCAATATAGGTATAGGACTGTTCGATGATAGTTGGTGCTGTCAAGTATTCTTGCAGTTGCCGGTTCGTATCACCGTGCAGCCGCAGCAGCGACCGGAGGTCACTATGCTCACACTGTCACCTTTGAACACTACTATATTATTTCTAAATTGGATGTTAATATTACTACTATGAATAAGATAGAGCACAATGCATGCGAAAAACTTCCAACCCAGCTGCACCAATTTACTAACCCGTCGCGTGTGATCCCCCCATTTGTGCTAGTGCAGATTCGCTTGAACGGCGCCAACCAATCAGCGTACGCCAGTGACATGCTTGCGCCGGCTGCCCTGAAAGTTTACATCTTTGGGCTATAAACGCAATTCACCACCACACCACAAGTATACCTCGAGCGGAGGCAGGAAAGTGCTATATTACAACCAAATGGTCTGCCGACTAGGAATCCCCTCGTTGCATGGGTTCACTCCATTCCTTCATTCAGTGATACTATCAACTCCCAGGGGATACAGCAAAATGGCGTCTTCCGCTACTACTCAACCTGGGCCTACTACCCCCCCATTCATCAACAAACTCCCATCTCTCGCAATATCTGAGAGCGAGGATGACGCCAATATTCGACAAAAATATCGCCCCTTTCTGCTCAACGATGGCGCATCTGACGACTGGGTTAATGAGTTAGAGTTAACAACCGCCATGGAGATGGCAGCGCAGGAGCTGCGACAAACAAACAACAGATTGAAAGTGCTAGTGTTGTACGGCAGTCTCCGCCAAAGATCTTATTCGCGTCTCGTGGCATTGGAAGCTAGCAGGATTCTGTTCCGCCTAGGGTGCGATGTCCGCGTGTTCAATCCCGAGAGTTTACCAGTCAAAAATGATACCGAACACGACCATCCTAAAGTGCAGGAGCTTCGAGAGCTTAGCAAATGGAGCGACGGACATGTTTGGGTATCACCTGAACAGCATGGCAACCTGGTTTGCATACCCTCCCTCACGTCTTATTACTTCAGTTACTGATCATCCCCAAGACCGCCGTATTCAAAAATCAGATCGATTGGATCCCGTTGACCACAGGCAGTGTGCGTCCCACACAGGGCCGGACGCTTGCTATAGCACAAGTATGTGGCGGGTCGCAGTCGTTTAATGCTGTCAATTCCCTGCGCATTCTTGGCAGGTGGATGCGCATGTTTACAATTCCCAATCAGTCATCGATCCCGAAGGCATATACGCATTTCCCAGATGAAGGTCAACCAGGAGACCAGAGGCTTCTACCGAGCGGGAACCGGGACCGACTGGTCGATTGCATGGAGGAGTTTGTGAAATATACCATTCTCATGCGACCTCACCTGGAGCTTTTTGGTGATCGGTTCAGTGAGCGGGAAGAGAAGCGGATTAAGGAGATGAAGGAACGCGCCAAACAAGTATAGACGATCGGACTCCTCGTTATTTGATTGAATACAAATTGTTCTAGAACAGCGCCTTGGCTGTCATTGCTAGCCTCAACCGGTAAAATCAATTAAGGTAGGATAATTATGCAGTCCATGCAGATGCGTCGTACTCATCCATGAAATCCGTGTATTCCTTCCCTTCTGCCACCCATCCTTTGATTCCCCCTTCCAGCACAAGACTTCTCATATGGGTGTCCTGTTGCTGCTCAATGTAGTCGGCAAACCAACTCGCGGCTCGCACTCCCCGGCCCTTCGATGAACCTGAGTCTAGTGAGCACACTCCACCGCTCTCTATGAGAGGAAGTACAAGTAGGTAACATACCACAGTACCAGACAACCTCCGTAGCCAGGCTTGTGCTGAGAAGAGAATAGAGTGTTGGGATCGCAGGGTATAGAGTTTGGGCTGGGAGGTTGATGGACCCTCGTATGGTGCCTCCCTTAAGATACATGTCAATCACCTTCACCATTCATCGCAATAAACTAACGTACCTCGAAATCCGTCCGACGTAGGTCTACTAGTAGGAAATCACGTCCGGGCTGTCTACCTGAGCGAAACCATCCCAGTACCTCCTTGCGATGGATACCGATTGCCGTGCTCCGAGGTGCGGGGTAGGCTGCGTGCCAAGGAACAGTATCTGTAGACATCATGGGTCAGTTGTGACTGCTAAATATGTGAACTGTAAGGATAGATTATTCTATAGGAAGAGTTCCAGCCGCTTGTTCATACTTCAGCTACGGGCTTCTTCTGGTTCGGTGGAGCCAAGATCGCCAAACCACGGCGAGAATGGTCTGTTGACCAATCAGCTTCGACCAGTGACATTCCAGTGCAACATCCGCTTTGAATAACCTCGGTTTGCTGGACCCATTTTCCTATGATATAGATCTTTCCGAAATTTTTGATAGGCATAATCTTGGGAAACCATGTCTGCTAGGGATTCCTACGAGTGGACGGGATGACGCATTCAACTTGATGGGCTACTGATAGTCCTGTCACGGCATGATGTTGCTACTAATGTCAGATCGTTCAAATTGAAATGTTTGTCACTCGCGGTATATATGCGTGAAGGTGTTGTCTTTCCCAATGTCAGGCTGAGAATGAGGGTCTTGGTAAAGTAAGTGAATAAGCCACACATGATTGAGTGATTGCGACCGCACCAGTCCAATAAGCACAATCTCCTCCCTGATTCCGGGCAGGTAATTTAAATGGTACATGGAATCGGTGTTAATAACTATTGCGAATCATCTTAACACCTTAACAACACCATTAAAGCAGTCCATCGCTGTTTCTGAAACCCGGAGCACAACCCCGCCTCTCCACGCCACAACCAACGCCAATCACGCAATTCCATAGTATGATTGATAATTACAATCTCTTGTCTCCCACCTTATCAAACCTATCATGGTCCTCGTTGTCACGACCTTAGCCCAATGCATAAACATGGCAGAATACTTAAGTGCGGCCGTTTTCCGTAAGATTGTCAAACAAGACCCGGATGTGCATTCCGCTCCGAGCACCAAAGTTCTCGCATTCGGCCACACAAGATGACTGTAGACTCGGGATCTCCAGCTAAGCTGCGAGTTGCTATAATTGGAGCCGGTCCAGCAGGCCTGGGAGCAGCTATTGAATTTGCCAAACTACCCTTTGTTGAACTACGTGTCTACGAGCAGGCCCGGGAGCTTCGGGAAGTCGGTGCAGGGATCAGCATTCAACAGAATACGTGGCGCATGCTCGACCTATTTGGGGTGTATGACAACGTCGATCCAAAACATTTGTTTCGTCCTGCAGATGGACATGCAGTTCAGCATCGGTGGGTATCCTGCCTCTTGTAATGGGACATGACTGAGCCA